GTTTCATTTTCCAAAGATGCTCAATGGGATTTAGGTCAGGGCTCATAGAAGGCCACTTCATTATAGTTGAATGTTTTCCTCTTTTCTTTTCTCTGGTGTTTTTTAGTTGTGTGTTTTGGGTCATTATCCTGTTGCAAGACCCATGACCTGCGACTGAACTCAAGCTTTGACAGCAGGCTGTCAAAGCAGATTTTTCTCTAGAATCCCTAGATATTTCATATTACCGTGCAGACATGCAAGGCACACTGTGACAAATTCAGCAAATCATATTCAGAACATAATAGAGCCTCCTCCATGTTTCACAGTAGGGAAAACGTTATTTTCCTGATATGCTTCAGTTTTCCATCTTTGAACATAATGCTTATATTCCTTAGAACATTTTATATTTTTGTATCATATATCCATAGGCATTCTCCCAGAAGATTTGTTGCCTGTCAACATATTGTTGGCAAATTTAAGTCTGGCTTTTTTATTATTTGTTTTCAACAAAGGTTTCCTGCTTGGTTGTGTCCCATTAAGTCAACTGATGTTCCTTGAGTTCGCCATTCAGCTTAAATCTCTAAATTAGATTTTCTTGGTTCTTTTGTTACCATTTCTTTCATCTGTCTGTTTGATCATTGATCAATTTTCCTCCTTTGGCCACATACATCCAGGGAGGTAGGTTACAGTCCTATAGAACCTACATTTCTGAATAGCAAGTGCAGCTGTTGTCACAGGAACATCAAGCTGCTTGGAGATGGTCTTATATGATTGACTTTTAACATACTTGTCTATAATTTTATTTCTAATCTCCTGAGACACCTCTTTCCTTAGCTTCCTCAAGTCCATGTTGAGTGTGGTACACACCATGTAACCAAACAACACAGTGACTACTGTCCCTTTGGTAACATTATAATTTTTTTCTTTTTTAGGGGTGCTATCCATTTTGTCTTGACTTATTTCATTAGTTTATTTTTGAAAATCATTCTGTTGAAGCATGGTTGATAAGCAATGCATGACTTTTATTTGTGTATGTTTATAGAACTTTTATTATAACTTTTTAAAAAGAGGCAAGGAAATTATTCAAGAAACATTTAAAATGCTAAACGTCTTTTTCCCCCCATGACCTATTAAAAAAATTATACAAAAAAAATTTAGAAAAAATTGAGAAAAAAAGAGAAAATGTTTAATGTCGTAGTGTCAATGACCTTAACAAGTATGCAAATCGGGAAATCATTAACATATATTACAATTATAGAACAATAAACTTTGACTTATTGCTGTTTCTTTTTGCTGTGAAATTTTAATTTAAAAGTTGAACTCTCCACCTTTATAGAATTTTCAAATCTTCAGTCTTTTATAGCCTCGATTAGATGACTGTAACATAAAAATGGGGGGACATGACCCCAATAACCATTTAAAACCCTTTAGGGGCATTTATTTTCTTAATAAGTCTAGGGAAGAAGGGTAGCAGCCTGGCACTGTGAGATCTCCTACACTGATGTGTACGTGCCTCTTTCACTGGCACTGCATCAGGTGCAGATCTCCATAAATCATAGACGGGCTCATACATGACTTCTCACATCTGACACACAGCTGCGCATAGTCTGGTCATCTGCACTTCTGCTGCTACTGGTCTTCTACTGAGACTACATGTGTGGAACCTTATATATGCTCCAGGTAGACTTGTGTCTCCCCTGACTGTAGGCACCTCTCATTCCAGGACACAAGAAGAAGTCAATTAAATACCCTACATTGAACCAACAGGGGGCTTACACACCCCTACCAATACAAAGCAGCTGGCAGAGCAAACACAGCCATTACCATATTGGACTTTTCCTCCAAAAGATACAGCAGATGTGTCTACAGATTCTCTCTTCCCCAGACACATCTCCTGCCCAGCAATTGGTACACAGAAGAAACAGAAGGAGTGAATAGAGAGGTGAGGGAGTGGCAAGCACAAAGGCAAATAGGCTACATACCCAAATATATAACAACTTATCTGTTAAAACATTATTGCACTCTATTAAATGTAGATGTCCTGCTGGTGCTGATTTATCAACTAGGCTAACTGTTTAGGATGTAGAAAAGTGAGCCAACAAAGTTTCTGAGTTATGGAAAGTATCAGAATTCTTTAGACGGCCATGTATCAGCTCACTGTCCAAGACTTCCTCTGCAAGAAGAACTGCGCTGTCCATGGTACTGGAACTGTTGCTTATCTGAGCAAAATCTTTCTTGCTGTACCCACAGCTGTAATATCATTAAACTCTGACTAAAGTAAATCCACCTCACAATAGTAACAATGTTTTACCCATTTTGACACAACTGATTTTTATTTCACCACTCATGAGTCGAAATTAAATAATTTTGATCAGAAATTCACTCCAAAACTGTATATGGGCCAATAAATTCAGCCTGAAAGGAGAGGTTGTGATAGGACTTAAAGCCATCACCTGATCACCAGAAAAAAATGAGTGCACCTCAGCACACTGATCAAATAATATACTATACTATACTCAGTTTCTCTTTACAATTGCTCCCGGAATGAAGACAGGCAACTCCAGAAGCCATTCACATAACCTACAAAACGTTTTGGCTCAACAGGCCATTTCAGCCTGTCCCACATTGCGGTCAATGGATCCTTCAGAGTGTGTGGGAAAACAAATTGATTTGGATTAAACTAGGGCTAAAAACTATTAATCATGATTAATCAATTATTGAAATAATCATCAACTAATTTAATAAACGATTAATCATTAACTGGAGTTTAGAGAATGTAAAACATGCCTTTAGCTGACAGAGCGACCCATTTAGAGCAGTAATTAAATAAAAAATTGTAAAAAAAAAAATAAAATATATATATATATATATATATATATATATATATATATATATATATATATATATATATATATATATATATATATATATATATATATATATATATATATATATATATATATATATATATATATATATATATATAGACATTTTGCATTTAAAATTAAAAAACATTTCTGTCAATTTGTGTTATCCAGAACTCCTCCAGTGGAAACATTTTAGTTCCCCATGGTTTATTTTTGTAAAAAATCTTCTTTAAGGAACCTTTTGCTGAATTTGCAAAATAATCATTAGTTGCATCCCTAGATTAAATCCTGCACTTTATTGGGTAACCTCCCTGGTCAAGCGCATCAGTCAATGCAAACCTTCCTCCCAATAACCACCTAACTCTGTATAATAAGCACACAGGAGGGACCGCATTGACTGATAAAAGTGTTTTTAAGCCCCCCAGTATGCCAATATAATATTTTGTGGCTTTGCTCTGTCACATTGACTTCAAATATAACACCTAAGAAATGCCAGTGAACCTCTGGATCTTGCTGCAGCTGATCTTTTGTTTTTACTCCATGTGTGAAACCAGAGCCTGTTAAATAGAGTTGAGGTAGACTCATGTTTCCAATTTACCTTGGACCTACCATTCCAGGACCCTAATAAAATGATATTTATACAACAAAGATTGCACTAGCAGGGGGCCGTAAAACTAAGAAAAATTGTTGCAGAAAAAATCCTATTCAGACATATATTATTTATTTATTTATTTATTTTTTTTTTTTTTTGCTCAAAAGTAAGAGTATTAGGCTCAGTTGAATCTTGTACTGCTGTATGCCATACATGGCTAGATTTTGCATCTAGCGGGGATTTGCTGCAGGTATATAATAATGCATTTAATTCTGGTTGTCCTCCTTAGAACAAAACAAAAGAAAATCAAAAAGACAGTTTGAGCGTTTACGTTGGAACTGACGTATAAAACAGATTTTTACCTGACAGCTCATATTGTCAACAACAGTCAAATTATAGGGGTAGTTTCCAAATTATATCTTTGTCCAAACAGGTGCTATGTATTTTCTTCTTTGTAGGTTAATTTGCAGGCAGTCAAAGAATGCATGTTTCTCATGTTTATATGCTCTTGTAGGTCAGCCCCTTAATGGAGGCTAATGCTAGACAATTTCCGTGCCAATCATTTAAGCTATGTGTAGTCTGATACACAAACTGGTATTCCATGCAGATCATGCGTTTTCGACTGTGAGCTTTTTTCCATGTTTTTTTTTGTTTTGTTTTTATTTTCTTTTATTTATTTATATATATATATATATATACAACTTCTACAAAGTATCCCACTGGCAAGAAGCAGCAAAGTAAAAAAGAATTACTCAATCAAGGATTGTTTCCCCTGCTGTGGGAGTTGATTAAGTCTTGTGCTGGTGAGGCTAAGCCTACAAATCAATTTGCACCACACAATACAGTCTTGGCTCATGCAACTATATGTTCATATCAGCTGAAATAAAACAGACTTTTACATGGTTTGCTATACTTTCTATGGAACATGTTCCCTTTTTGAATGTTTAAAATGTACCTCATCTTTCTAGTAAAGCAGACCTAGCTTTGTTAATATAGTTCTTTTTTGTTTATTTATTGTAGGATTTAAGTTTTTGAAATTTCACATAATTTTCCCTCTTGAATCCAGAGTATAATTTTGCTTTGCCTTTTATGTTGTCTTCTAAAGCCACATATTTCTGTTGTCTTTGATTATTTTAGCCATTGTTTAGATTCAACATGCAATTTTCTGCATCTAAATGTTGTGCATTGAACTGTATGAGATTGCACCTCAACTTATCTGCTATAAGATGCAAGTCAAAGAAATGTAGGTCTCTATATTTTTTATTTTTTTGTCAGGTTGTGATTTTGATGTACAAAAACTTGCCTATTTAAACCTCCCTAATTGGTAATAATAATAATAATAATAATAATAATAATAATAATAATAATAATAATGCTTTTTTCCTTTAAATTGTTTTTTTATTCTTTTTTCTCTTTCCCAAAAGACACAATTCTAGTAAATGGAAAGAAAATTAGTTATTCTACACTGATATTATGAGATTCATTGATCAGATACTAAGCTTACTTCATGTAATACAATTAAGTACTATTAAATAATAACAAATTATTTTTGCTCATTTTAGACCCATATGATGATGACCTGAAAGTGAAGACCCAAAGGCCACGATCAGCTGACCTGCCAGGTGTGTTTCAGGCACAAACAGGTGAGTGTTAGGAGTGTGAGGTAGTGTTTGCATCCAGGATCCAAATGAAGAAGCTTTGACCTCCAAAGGTTCTTTATATGTAATCACAAAGTGGTAAGATTTAAAGAAAGCATATTTTATGAAAGAAACGGAAAAGCCAAATCATGCAGATATCCTAAATATTTGATAGATGTCATGGAATGCCTTTTAAAAGTCTGTTTAGTTTAGTTAGACTTTAACCAGGGCATGCCTTAAATCTTTCAGTAATTCAGCACTCCTGATTCAAATGATGGTTCATTACCAAACATCTGCAGGAGTGATTTCAACTATTTAATCAGATATCTTTGAAAAGGTTATCTAAAATATTTAGGAAACTAACTTTCATGAAATTAAATTTGACATTTATTATGTGCACATTTTATTATGTCCACCTTTGATTCAAGCCTTTTGCAGTTTGTTTTGATCTGAAGCTGCCTGTTGTTCTACTCAACACTTGCTGGAACATGGATTTATAGCTTCAGAGTTTCTGCTGAAGAAATGCACCCACATAGTTTTATTTTCATCCTCCTGAGGTGTTTATGTTTTGAGTTTTTTCTTCTTTTTTTTTTTGGTTTGTGTTATGATTCTTTCCTGGGTATCTTCTTTAGGTTTTTGCCTTTAGCTTATTATTGTAACTTTTTGTAAGTTCATTTAGAACTATTTATGTAAGATCTGTATTAGATTTTTTTCCTTGGTTTTTCTGTGTAACTCAGTTCAACCTCCTCTGTTAGACTTAGTGTCTCTCCCTCAGCCTTCCTCTCCTTCCGTTAGCTTCTACTGCAACTCACTTTTTTGAGAATGGTGTGATCTGGTTTGATTGCCATTCAACATATTCCCTTACTGTGCCAATTTTTCCTTTCACTGATCTCCTAATGCCTGTATGAAAGTCCTCCACTTTTTACCTTTAAACTATTTAAACCATTTAAATTTACCATGCTGCCTCCATGGTCCCTATGTTGGGTCAATGGTAGCTCTAGACTAAATTTATCGGAGGGTTGGGGTGGGGCCTTTCATTTTTCATTGGAACAGAAGGATTTGGGAAAAAACAAACAAAAAATATGAAACAGGCCTAGAATATATTGTGTAATATTAGTGAGCCATACAGTCGCTCTCAAGCTGAAGGTTGCAGATGAAGACTATGATCTTATCTTAATATGATTGAAACTAACATTTGTCTATTAAATAATATTTAAAGGAAATCCAAAAATATAAAGGAGGAAAAAGGTCCAATCTGTTATGTCTTTTGATAGCACATTTCATCATGAGAACATGATTTACCATCATCTCTTCAATAAAAGGGTTATAATAGGGGCCTGGCCCTTGTCTAGAAATACCCTTTATTTTGTCCAGCTCCTGACAAATCTTGACAGTTCAGGGTTACATTATGTCTAGTTATGTTTTAGTTATGCTAGGTCCAGTTTTTCAAAATTGGTTTTCTTCTGTGAAAATGCCACACTTGGATATTGCAGGGCTAATTTAGTAGTTGACACATTTTTGTGTACCTGACCAGTTAATCTCAGCTACTCTCTGCTACTGAGGAGACTACTTTCTTTGGTGGTAATATAGCCTGTGACAAGTCCAAGTTTTGCAATTTTATCAATTGATAGATGTTCCTCTGAGGCCATCTTCAAACAGCTGTCTACTTTTTACAAAGGTGTACTATTTACACTTTTAAATGATAACTCAATTATAACTTATAATTAAACACGTATGGGAGAGTGCTGGTGAAGATTCTCAGTCATCCAGGTCAGTCATTCCAAAAAATTAAATTAAAAACAATCCACTGGACTTTGTTTCCAAGTTTGAAGACGTTTTGCTTCCCATCCAGGAATCTTCTTCAATTCAAAATGTCAGGAAAAGCGTTGAGTTCGAGGTCAGTGCTTTTGCTGACATTTTTAATTGAAAAAGCTTCCTGGATGGGAAGCGAAATGTATGGGACTTTTTGTGCGCAACCACTCAGTGTTTTATTTATAAAAAATATTCAAAACCATGCATTCCTTTTCTGTCACTTCTAAATAGAGCAGTGATTTTTATTGACCTTTTGGTTTGCTTTCCTATAAAAAAAAAACCCCACTACATTTGTTATTATTACAAACTGTGGAACATTTTAAGAGGTGTGAATGCTTTTGCAAGGTACATTATATATACAGCATATGTAGATACTGTAATCCTGATATAAAGAGAAGAGATAATGCTTATCCACTTAGATATTCCAATAATTATTTGGGCTTTTGGTTTTACCAAAGCTTTAGCTTTGTTGAGGGGTGAGAGACCTTGGAGACAGAATCACAATGTTTGCGTCTTGTCCTTCTGAGATTCTTTCCCCCTCTTGCTTTTCCTTGCCTCTCCCAACTCTTCCTTTCCTCCAGGCACGTGTGATGAGCTTAAGCCCTGACTCACAGCATGCTAATGAAGATGTAATACGATTAACGGACATGCAATTAATTCGATTTCCTCCTCTGCCATATGATGATGCTCCGATCAAAGGACATTGAGCTCATAAACAGTTTAAAAGGGGGGACATTTTCATTGTGTTCAGTTGTTGATTTCAAGGGCATAACAGAGTAGGAACAATGGGACCCTCGCTACAGCTGCCTGGAGAATTCCAAATCAAGGGCAAGCTTCCTCTCTTCTTTGGGCTCTAATGTGCATAAGAGACACAGATGTTTCTTTAAACCCCCGAAGAAATGATATATATATTTTTTCTATGAACTGATATATGCTTGGCATTCTTTTGACTTGATCATTATCCTTTAGGCTACTCATACAGGTTCTCTTTGCCTAAACAGGATTAAGTTTCAACAGACACCATCTGTTGACTAAAATTATAATTCTAATAGTATTTTTTCACATTTACATACATCATAAACAGTTCCAGCCTTAATACTAATGAAGATGTTGCATCAATCTTTTAGTAGATATCATAAATCCCAATCCACTATTGTTAGTGTGGCTTGTGTATATATATATATATATATATATATATATATATATATATATATATATATATATATATATATATATATATATATATATATATCAGGGGTGGAACGGTTCACAAAATCCATGGTTCGGTTCGGTTCACGGTTTCGTGGTCAGGGTTCGGTTCGGTATGTTGATTGTTAGCCTGACATGTTGGACATGTTGCTGTAAGCATTAACAATACATGTTGCACAATGCTTGCACACTGTTGCGCTTTTATCCACAACTTTCTTTCGGCCGTCATCGGCCACACTAAATGCAAAGTGGTCCCATACAGCAGACCTATAAAGTGCTGCTGGCGCGTCTTCCAACTCCTGTTCTTTCCCACTCGTCATACCCACACAAAACTCCACAACAACTGATTTTTTTCTGCTACACCCGGCTAAGCTGCTTCGCTTCTTCTTCTTCTTGTTTACTGCTGGTGGTTTGCTTTGGTCGCAGTACCGCCACCTTCTGCTCTGGAGTGTAAACGCTTCGCCTATGAGAAAAAGGAGCAGCGCATGAACCGACGTAACACACGCGAATCGAACCAAGACAGTCGAACCGAACGGTTCGGACGGTTTTCATAAAGTGTTCCATCACTTATATATATATAGATAAATATATCTATATATATAGAGATATATATATACCCTTGAGGAGCAGTGGGCTCCCCACAATGGCAGTCCACTGCTCCTCAAGGGTATGGATTAAATGCAGAGGTAAATTTCTCCAACGTGAGATCAATAAAGTTCAATTATTATTATTATTATTATCCATCTCATTACTTCCCACTTGCTCCGTCACCTGTCTCAGGAACACCAAAGCCCAAAATTTGACATATTTTTCCCTTTTTCGATGCTGATTACACAGATAAGCATTATATCAAAGAAACGGGGGCATTTTGTTGCTTTAGGATTCTTCTGTGTGATAGATTTTTTTTCTTAAGAAAATATTTGGAGGGAATTTGGTCAGATTTAAGAAAAAAGAATTCAGTAACATGACTGAAAATTAGCACAGCCAAAATGAAAGAACCAATTGTCCAACCCCCTACATCTCCCTCTTTAGGTGATCCAGCGGCAGAGGAGTGGTCACCATGGAGTGTGTGTTCCTTGACGTGTGGGCAGGGCTGGCAAGTGAGGACGCGATCGTGTGTCTCCTCTCCTTATGGCACGCTTTGCAGTGGTGCTCTGAGGGAAACACGCATGTGCAACAACACTGTTTCCTGTCCAGGGGAACCTGGAATCATAAGTTCAGGTATGGCAATCAGAATACCTTGATGTACTTCCGATTTTCATAAACAGATTTCCCACACCTTGGTTTTCCCCAAAGTCAAGATTGTTGCAGGCTGGCATTTAAGTACTAGTGCTAGTGCTGAATGTGTTCTGAATAAACTATTTTATAATGATCCAAAATGGATTTAAATTTTTGCCTAAATTCATTCATGTCCTTAGTACTTTTTTTTTACCGTTTAACTTTTTATTGGTACTTTTCACTTTTTTACATACACAGTGCAGATGAACATTGCACATTCAACTTAATGTAACATAAAACCTGCACTTTGGGAGCTATTCATCTATTTGACCTCTGTCCCGTCTAGCTTATCTAGTTCTTTATCTTTGTCGCTGTCTTTTGTCCTGAATGTTGTCCATCTCCTCCGTTTTTCTTTCATTTGAGTTTGCTGAAGTCTGAGACGATGTGTCAGTTTTTCCATGATGTAGATTTCTTCTATTATTCCAGTCCATTGTTCTTGACAAGGGGGTCTGCCTGTCCCCTTGCCTCGTAATTGCTTTTTTGGCAGCTATAACAATATCTTAATCAGATACATGTCTTTTACCCTTGCTCTGATATTGTTCAAATTGCAAAGATATAGTACCACACCACTCATAGCAATATCATATCCTAGAATCTTCTTCACAGTTTCATGTACATTTTCCAGAATTTAACAATTTTAGGACAGTTCCAAAATATGTGAGAGTGGTCGGCATTCATTGATCCACAATTCCGCCAACAACCCGTGTTTGTATCCTTATATTTATTCTTGATTTTAAGCGTGAAGAAAAATCGTATTAGATTTTTCCATGTGAACTCCCTCCATATCTGTGAATTGGCGGATGTGTGATGTGTTTTCCACAAATCTAACCAATCTTGATCTGAAAATGTCATGTTAAGCTCTGATTCCCACTTATGTCCTTAGTACTTTAAGCTTTGAATGCTCACCAAGGCAGTTTACGAGCAAATAAATAAGATCCTATTTGAAAACTTTCCAGGAAATCTGACCAAATGACTCTTGAAAAGGAAGACTGCAGCTTTTTGACATCTCCATTGATAAAATAAGGCATGAGTTGTAGTACACAGCGCAAAAACTGAAAAAAATTTAATAAAAACGCTTTTCGAAAACCTCTAAAGTCTCCAACCCCTGACAACAACCTTTGGACCTTTTAAATGTCACTCAGTATAGCTTTTTTTATAAGCCATGAATCCTTAAGTCTTCATATTCCAGGCCTTTATGGATTGACTTGATGAGCCAACATGACTGCAATTTACCAGTTCACATGCAACAATGTTGCCCAGACTGATGCATGTGTTGCTACGTGAGTGCATGTAAAGCCAAAACAGCTCTTTTAAGAGAAGACTAAATGAGAAGGTTTATTGGTTTTTAGTTTTTTGACTCACATGCAGAATCACACTGAGAACCAGTGAATTTTAATGTTTTATTTGCAAAACAAGAAGAGTGTGGAAGCGGAGAACTATAGGTTCTAGTCACATGCCTCATTGAAGTCTGTCAGGTGAGGGTAGTTGAGAGGTGAATCTTCTAGGTATTTTTCCTAAAAGTGCTTTATGAGTGGGTGAAAGATTATGTCAAAGATCAACTCCTCTGTTGAGAGATGGCTTTTCTAGTTTAACAAAATGGCTTCCTTAAACCCTTGCTCAAACCATCTTCTTCCTTTACAAGAATATGTGGTTTGTTTAAATTCATGGGCTGCCTCCTTTAACCCATTTAGGCCTAAAACGCCTGGAAAAAACACCTTAAAAACCTATGGCCGATTTTAAAAAATACCCCTGAAACCTGAAGTTTTTCTGTAAATTCAGCAACTGTGTCAACGCCTAGTAAATTATTGATATCTCAGCTTCTGTAGCAGATAGAAACAAAATTCAAAAAGTATTTGAAAGCTTACACCTGTGGCTTTCCTGGGAAATTGAGTTTATTTAGATACTCCTTCACAAAAATAAACAATGTAAAAGTAAAGTGAACATTAATATTTTCAATCAAAAATAGTAAGAAAAAAATAATAAATAAACAAGAACAGAACATACTAATGACTTAAACAGTCTGATTTACATGTAGCGACGATAGTGCTTGCCGAAGCACTCAATGTGCAGTGGCAGGCTGCACTGTTTACAACCATACACAGTTGGCCCACCTACTTTTTCAGTGTCCGAGACAAGCAAACACTCCCTACACTTTTTGCGCTTGTCATAGATTTTTCCAAAGTCATGTTGTGGAGGAGGTGTGTCTACTCTGCTACAAGCAGATGGAGCTGGAGAGGGAGGAAGACTAGGAGATGGTGAGGCAGGAAGAGAAGATGGAGGAGTCACATTAACAGCCCTGGTCCTGTGCGGTGTGATGAGCTGCTCAGCCAGGTCCTCCAGCCAGGGTTTGTAGCCTCTGTACTTGTGTCTGAAGGCTGTTCCTCCAACAGACCTTGCAGCAATGTAGGCATTGTGGCAGGACATAGCCAAGAAAAAGAAAAACACCCTCCTCCACCACTTCTTTGATCGATGCTTGAATCCATAATAGCCAATCATTTGATCAAGCAGATCGACGCCTGGAACACACAGAACACTCAGTTGACACACATGAAACTCAGACATTTGCACTCCAAAGACCAACAAAACAAACCTTTCATGTGCTTCTGGTAGTCTGCAAGGGAAGCTGGCACTTCCACCGGGACGTGGTTGGCTCCGTCTTTTTTTCGATTCACTGTCCCTGTCTGAGTTGGATCGTGATGGTTGGAGAGCACCATGACGGTTTTTGTGTCTTGCCAAATACAGAACGTGAGGTCGTCCTTCTGAGCTACCCTGAACTCGTGCTTTTCCATTGAGGTGTTTTTTCTAAGCCTCTCATTCTTTGGGAGTCCAGTCCGGTTGGCACGAACAGTGCCGCAAGCGTTCAACCCATGGGTCTTCATCTCCTCAAACAGAGTTACCCCCGTGAAAAAACTGTCCATATAGATGGACAGGTAAGACCCATAATATGGTCTGGCTAATTCCATCACCACACGGTGTGCGAGACCCTTCTCTATAGAGCCTTCACGACCAGCATACACCTGGAAGTTGGTCACATATCCTGTGGAGCTCTCTGCCATTACCCATACCTTGACACCCCACTCTGTCGGCTTCATGGGGAGGTACTGCCTGAAGGAGAGGCGCCCTTTGAATTTGATCATGCTCTCATCTACAGACACGTTGCCATCTACCTCATACAGTGCCTGGAATCGGTCAAGGAGGTAATTCAGAAACCAGCGCATTTTCCATAGCTTGTCATCCTTGTTGACATCTGCTGCCTGGTTATTCTGAAGGTGTAAATACCTGAAAATGCACACATAAGTTATGTTTTAGTTTTATGTGAAAGCATCACATAAAATATTGTCAAGCTTTTGTAACACATTTGGCATACAGTTGTTTATTTTTTTATTTTCAACACTATTCACATTGTAGATTATGACTGAAGACACATGTAATTATGTGATGAACAAAAAGTCTAAGGTAACTCAAAATATATTTTATCTTTTAAATTCTTCCAAAAAAAAAAAAAAGTGAAAAGCAGTAATCAAAAAAAAAAAAAAATTCAACCTTTTATTTTTTCCATATGTGATCATGTCTTCATTGAGAATGTGCAATATAAAACGTTTTTAAAATAAAGAACAAACATTACATAAATAACTATCTGATGATTACTTATTAACAGTATTATTATGCATAATAATGTCTGTGTTATAAATTGCAATACAACTTACCTCCAGATGGCCACAAATCTGTCCCGGGACATATTCTGGGGGAACTGCGTCCTGAAGAGAGGTTTACTCTGTCGCCAATAATCTCTTCGTACTGGCAACACAAGAAGTCCCATGCCCATACACAGCCCAATAAATGTTTTCATCTCCGTCACAGTCACGGGTGACCACTTTGCCATCTTTGCTTTTGATGGAGTTTGGTTTGTTTAGTCACTGTACCTATTCGTCTCGGTAACGAGATGCATCCAAAGGTCTTCATTGAAAATATGCTCAAATGCCTGCAGCGGTGTGGCGTCTGCAGGCAAATCAACCTTCACTCCAGGTGTGCGGTTGAAAACACTCCGTGCATTGCGGTGGTAGTTCTCCGTCTTCCAGTCACTATCAAAACCTTCAAACTCATCGTCGCTAGCGTCCGGCTCGTCGTCTTCGAACATATGTCTTAACCACAAATCCCGGTCGATTGGTTCAGCGCGTTCAAAGTCATCATTTTCATCTATACCGTCAAAGCCGACACACTCCTCAAAATCACTGCCTTCCGAAAACTCTTCTCTATCAAACTCCTCCATGTTTGCTTGAAACAAACTTCTTTCTTCTTGCTTGACTTATATGCTCTCCCGGCGTCAATGGTAGAATTACGCAACAGAGCCCCCGGCTTGAATGGTAGAAATGCGGCAATGCTTTCCCGGCCTAAATGGGTTAAGGACGTGGTCCACCTGAACTGGTTCCTGGACTGGAAGAGTTTTGGCTTTGAATTCAAACAGCTCCCCCCTTCTGTGGCTTTCTCTGCCATACACTCTGTCATGAGTAAAAACTACACTCTTGAGAATACAGAGTGGAACAAAGGTGACGACCACTGGGAACATGAAAAAATAAAAGCTAACATAATGATATAAAAAGGGTGTAAAGATATAACTAAATCTAAACAATGTAAGTATCAAAAATATATCAGCAAATCTCTTATATTCAAGAACAAAAAATACTTAGTTAAGAAAATTGTGCAAAAATGCAATTAAATAAACCATATCAGATTTATAGTCCCCATACTGAAGATATATTTGAATCTGTCCTTAAATTACAGCCAAACCCATTTACACAGTGACAGTTAGAAACCTTTAGAAAAACTAAACATTACCGCCACATATCAGACTCAATAACCATTAAAACAACAATTGTATTAATTTCACACAGAACTATTCACATACTTGTATTATATTAAACTAAATTTCCAATATTCACCAC